TTGGTTAGGATGATGGGTGGTCACGTTTCTTCGAGGGTTGCGACAGTTTGTCCCGACATCATTTGCTTGCAGGCTCCGTTAGCGTCTGTTCACCTCTTTCACGACCGTTAACAAGTTATATCGAACATTCTACTAGTCACGCCAACATCCGCGTCCCTCGTGTCAAGTAACCGCTTAAGACTTTCCCTCAAATTTCAGATCTCCATATGAATTGAATAATATTCCGTACTAAAAACCCTTTCATCAGCATTCCTTGCAATTTTGTGGACATTTAGACAATAATAATTATCTTAAAAGACACGTACGCTCACAGAGATTACAGTATCATTTGGATATATTATTAGGACCGTTTCATCTCGTATTATATTATTTTGTTATTATCAGATTGTTTTAATGTCAGGCACATTTATTTTGTCTCAGTGAAAGATGAATGACAATCTTAGATTCTACATTTTTATTTTTGGAATGACAAGAAGGTTAAATGTGTTAATAAATTATGTGTTTATGTTTCCCACTTTATTGCAGTTGGACGAGGGAGGTCCACTGGTGTGCGACGGCGAACTAACAGGAATCTTGTCCCACTCCCTCAACTGCGGAAGACAGGGAAAACCAAGTGTCTACGCCGAAGTGGCCAAGCACAAAGCCTGGATTGAAAGTCATATTGTCGATGCGGCTTCAGTCAATAGTCTTAGTCTCTTAACAATACTAGCGATGCTAACCGCACTTACGACTTTCTGGAACAGTGCTGCGTAAGTGTTTTTGGTACGAATCATGTTCTTCTCTTCGATACTCCTGAGTATCAGCTACGAATGTAAATAAGTGAGCTCTAACTGACTTAATCCATTAAAATGTCCTCCTTCAGAAACTGATAGCTTCTTAGCTGGTCAGGAATTCCTCTGCCTCGTATGGAACCCTAAAGATCGCACTCGTGCGACTGATTCTAGACACACTCTAAACCCTGGCGCATTAATCATTTACAACTTCAAGCTTTCAGTCTGTAACTATGTTATTTTTCATGACAACAACGCGGAACTGAACGCTACTTTCAGATTGCTGTGAGAGTCGAACATATTCAAAATAAGAGTCGCTAAGACTCTCTTCGTCTTCGACAACTGACTTCAGAAATGATATCAGATTTACAACTTATCCAACTGATTACAAATACGATCAATACCATTAATTAAAGAATATAACACGTTCATTTGTAATTATGTTAACTTACACAATTAATTGTTACGGTCTCTTGTATTAGGCGAGTGGCTAACAAAATGAATAACCCTTTTCATGTGAATAGAATTTAATAATCCAGTCCCTACAGCAAACAAAACGCAACGCATCTCCTTTACGAAGATCCGTCAGCTAATGCAGTTTAACCCTCGTACTGCATCATTTGACTCAGTCGCATGCAGAATTGACCTCCGTTTGCCGTGGCACTCGACTTCGATCGCTGAACCGTGAAAATGTATCTTTGTTGGTCTGTATAGTGCTGCCACGTAGTTTGAAGCTTTTGAAGTCGTTACAACACATTTAAAGAAACAAATCGAAAGTGCGTCGTACTTATACCTTAAAATGTCGTGATTTCAAGGAAGTGATGAGAAAATAATCCGTGGCAAAAGGATGGATATGAAACCCATAATTACACTCTGTGTGGGAAAAATTCAGTTATTCACTAATAAAACGTGTGTTACGTATAATTACCACTAGGCTTTTAAAGGTTTACATTATTAATTACCAAAGAGACCCACTCAGTTACAAATGTGCTAAGTTGCTAACGGATTTGATTCCGTCAAACGCCTTAATAAATGACCTTTCCTTCCTGTTCTAAGTATTTACCGAAACGCTGACGAGCTTTAACGTCGAACTTTGATATTTAATATGTAATGAGCAACTTAGATAAAATTCAAAAGAAATTTTTTCTAGGTATAAAATAGCAGGAATTTGTTTCTTCGTACAGATCTTTATAAAACTAAAGGACTTAAGATGAGACGGCCCGTACCAGAATTGTAGTCATCGTACTGATTGTTCTCATATACTTGCACCCCTCGATCCAATTTATATAATAAAAGTATGAAAGTCTACGTGCAAATAAAACAGCAAAACTCGGTAAGACGTTACCGATTTCAGGAGAATTCAAGCACTATTCATTCTCTTTCTAACATTCAGATTTAAAACTTTAATTCTAAAATCGAAATATGTGTTACATGAATATCAAATAAATCTTATCACAAATAAAAATATGAATAACAGAGAATTGCTTCTTATGAACGAGAAGCAGCCTCTTTTACCATCCCATAAGAAAGCCAGATATCAAAACACAACATATAAATTAATTTCCAAGCTGGTAAAGGTGGCCTTCGTCAGTCACAGTCTGAGGCGTGGGCCTTGTGTCGCTCGGTCACTGGGACCGTGGTTTCGAATCCCACTCAAGCCATGGATGTGTCCGCGTCTTTCTGTGTTGTGCTGTCCTGTGTACAGGTAGAGGCCTTGCGATGGGCCGATCCCTCGTCCAAGGAGTCCTACCAAAATGTCTAAATAGATTAAGTCACCTCCAAAAGGAGGCCCCTGTGCTCCACATAAGAGCAAAAATGGTATATAGAATAAGAATAAGAAAAGAAAGGTGGCCTTAAGTCGGCTGTCTTCTGGGTTGTTGCACCGCGTAGTCTGGTAGAAGTTTACCAAAGTTTCAGAGGTCCTTGCTGCCTCTGTCATCAGGCCCTGGAGACTTCGTGGCGCTACAACCCAGAAGACGGCCATCTTCAGACTCACCGCCGTGAAAACCTCAAATCCTACAAGAGTGGCCTTGTTTTGAATGTGGATAAAATTAAACGAGAACAGAAATGCCTACTGCAGTATAGAATATATAATCTTTCAACATTATTTACAGTTTCGTACAACCGGTTTGTTCTGTCGTTTATTTTACGCGGTGCAATAATATTTTAACGCGCTAAAAATAGTAGACATTTTACCCTACTTAATTTATTCTGTCACTCACAAAGCCAGTTGGTGACAGCTGTTATGTAGATTAAGGGCATTTTTTCTTATATAATAATATTTTAAGTGAAAATCAGGAGCTTTATGTAAATTATTTGTTATGTTGCAAAGACCTAAATCTTATTCCCTAATTCGGGGTAATACCTTAGACTGAGAAATACTAACCTGAGGCAAAGAATGTATTACATTATGTGGAAATATAACTGGGATCACAAAGAATTAACTCAAAATGCAGGAAAATCGAAGATCAAGAAACCTAAAATTGGGATATCACGGTGTATGACAGGTAATACATAAATATGACATTTTGAAATAATAACAAACCAAAATTATATTCAGGAAATTTTCCTCTTGTATATTGCTGCTACTGTCCACGGAGTTTCGTGTCAACCGTCGCGAGGCGCATGCGCGTTACAAACACCACAACTTGAAACGTTCTACATCCCCCGTGCATAATTTGTATTCGCGAATGTTCCGCCGGGGTGGTTGTAACCCATTGTCGATTTTGGCTGTGCTCGTGTGAAATCAGTAATGAACTTGCAAAATGTTGATCAAGCTCAGATTATGTGAAAGGTTTGTGCTCCATGAAGTTGGTGATTTGGTAAGATAGTCATAATCCTGTTTGTTTAGTGTTATTTCTATTGCGATTTGAGGTTAGACAACTGTGAAGATGCCGATTTATGTCTTCCGGTTTGTCGAGCCGTGGCTTCAAGTGTTTCGGAGGAACACATCGCCTCCATACGTCATCCCGGAGGACTGCACGGCTTCAACATTATTCTCCGTACCCCGGTTAGCGTAAGCAAATTCTTATTTTAGTTATAAGGCTCCGTTAATCATTTCCAGCAATGCATTTCGTACGCAGGAATGGTGTTATTTAGCAAGGGACGATGTCTTGCGCATGCGCTGGATTGTGTCCTTGGTTAGCTTTTTGGTTGGTTTATTATTCTCCGTGCTGTACAATTTCAGACGGACATAATACCGGTTCATCATCTGTCAACTGAACGAGTTCTGAACCGAATTGTTTTTACCTTCAGCTTCTGAAGTAGCAGTGCTATTATATATTTGTCAAATTGGCATTTACACCTCGTTTAAATATATTTAGGACAGCGCAGCTACACACCAGCCTGGTAGCAAGTTTTCATTTCCTTGACAACTAAGACGTAACGTAGGAAAACTATAATACGCTATTCGAACATTTCTATTTCACGAGATAACAATGGCAAACTGCAATGACCTTGTAATATGCTGTGTAACCGAGCAAACTTTATATTTTTGGCATTCAATTTTTTAATGCCAAGAAAGAGAACAATGTAACCCGAAATTCGAGCAGTTTAAATTATGAGCCTGATGGCTGTGCAATAACGATTTTCAACGTACAGGATACACAAACTCAAAGACCATTCTCGAATATGAATTTGTTAATGCAGTGTTTACCATCTCTCCGCAGATCGAGAATTCATTCACAAGGTTTGAAATAATGCATCAGAGTAGAACGTTTTTTTTTTCTAACAAGTATCCGACAATGGAATTAAAGGAACTATTTGGGCCAGCGGAGATAGCTGACGTCTGTTATATTACATTTCATAATCCTAGTGGAAAATATATGCGGACATACGAAAGCCAGAAATGTCGACATTTTAATACCAAGATTCAAACACAAAATTTTTTTCAACTCTAATAATAAAATTTTTAAGAAAACAAATGAGTTATAAAATAAAATAATGAAATGAGTAATAACTTGTGAATGACTGGAATTATTTTTTGTGGCCCATATTACTACTGACATTTCAGCTTACTGGCGGGCAGACACAGACAGACAGACAGACAGCAATGTGAGAAACTTTTTCTTCACCATGCTACGTTGATATTCAAATTGCCAACGATTATTCCATGAGGATAGTGACGTCACATCCATTTTCAGAAGTTGGATGACAGTATAGAGGATGCCCTGAAACTTCTGTACCCCGATAGCTAAGAACGTTCTATTGGAAAAGAAATTCCAGATATGAAACACAAATCAGTCTTTTGCCACGTTGTAGATTTTCTTGTAGTTTGTTATAGTCCATTAAATGTCTCCTGGCGCCTTGATTTTTAAATATCAATGCGCATGAAATTCAAACTGCATATGTTCGCTTATATCTTCAAAGCGCGTACACCAATATGGACAAAACTTGGCGTGCTTATCCCTTGTGATAGAAGAATGGGGCAGAGACCACAATTGTTTCTTAAACAAAACTCACGGCTCCGAAAAACTCTCCTAGGTTTTGTGTCCCGGTGAAGATTTTGGGTTTACTTTGAAAACCAAATATATTTATCGAATAGCAAGTTTTCGGGCAATAAAGATTGATAAGGATGTAAGCATTTATGGAATTTTACTGTGGGATCTGGTTGTTAGCAAAAGGTAACGTCTGTTATCTCCTTTTGACAATTTTAACTTGTAACTATTTACGTAATGTGTTCTTATGAATTCTTTGATTAATGTAAACATATTACAACGTGACGTAATGCACGTTATCTCTGTAGCAGTAAACTGGATTCTTACACTTTGGGAGATGCTACAGTCTGCAAAGCGGTAACCATGGTAATGAGAGTATGTGAAGACAAGGGTGGAGAATCAGGCGTCAGCTTGTACGGTAACAGATTTCGGTAACCTCAGAGGAATTACGTTGCAGGTTTGTATTGTATTAGTGGAAAAGTGGCAAATAGGTTAGGTTAGGTTAGGTTAAGTTATGTTAGGTTATGTTGAGTTAGGTTAGGTTAAGTTGAGTTATGTTAGGTTATGCTGAGTTAGGTTAGGTTAAGTTATGTTAGGTTATGTTGAGTTAGGTTAGGTTAAGTTGAGTTATGTTAGGTTATGCTGAGTTAGGTTAGGTTAAGTTATGTTAGGTTATGTTGAGTTAGGTTAAGTTATGTTGAGTTATGTTAGGTTATGCTGAGTTAGGTTAGGTTAAGTTATGTTAGGTTATGTTGAGTTAGGTTAAGTTATGTTAGGTTATGTTGAGTTAGGTTAAGTTATGTTAGGTTATGTTGAGTTAGGTTAAGTTATGTTAGGTTATGTTGAGTTAGGTTAAGTTATGTTAGGTTATGTTGAGTTAGGTTAAGTTATGTTAGGTTATGTTGAGTTAGGTTAAGTTATGTTAGGTTATGTTGAGTTAGGTTAAGTTATGTTAGGTTATGTTGAGTTAGGTTAAGTTATGTTAGGTTATGCTGAGTTAGGTTAAGTTATGTTAGGTTAGGTTGAGTTATGTTGAGTTATGTTAGGTTATGCTGAGTTAGGTTAGGTTAAGTTATGGTAGGTTATGTTGAGTTAGGTTAGGTTAGGTTTGTATCTAAAATTTTAAGTAACGGAATAATGTACGAGTATAAAATGCTAGTTTTGATGAGGCCTTGAAACATCAGGAGATAGAAACAGTCAGAGGCTTGCTTTTAGTGTAATGTTGGATTTAGAGACTGTCGTGGTATATTTTATCGTTGTTAGGTTTGGAGACAGTAGGAGGCGTTGGCTTTGTTTGGTTTGATTATTCTGGTTTTGGGTGAAGAAGTTTCAGGTTATGATAAATATTGGAATTTAGAATATGTAAATTATGAATGTTCGTTTTTTTGGGATTTTGTATATTCGAAAATTGGATATTTTAAAGTTTGCGAAGAAACTGTTTTACGGCATAAAATGTATTTATCACTTTTGAATTTAATTTCCAAAGAACGTAAGAGGATATTCGTGTCTATTCCGAAATGCAGTTTCCGGCTCTGATGTTGTGACGGCGAAACTTCGAAAGGGGTGCTCATGCGTGTGGGGAGGTTAGGCCGATTTAGGAGGGAGGGGGCTGATTTGGGGAGACACCGACTCACTCTGGCTACTTTTATGTTTTGTTTGTGATAGTTTTATCAATGACCACTTGTTTTAAGACAGTAGATGGTTTTATTTTCAATTGTAATTTTCTGTGTTTTGAGTACACCCTTTCCAGGGTCGTGGGCCAAGCGAACCTACGACATATAACCTCTGCCATCCCCGGATGACAAACTGTGTCACTATGAACTTACTTTTCAAAGTTTCGTAATATCATAACCTCGCACTATGACTGCTAAATTGTATAAATAACTGACATGGCTTGTTTGAAATACGCATATAATTCAGCAGCCACGTATATAAGTTTCAAGTACTTAAAGAGAACCACCTGAAGATGATCAATTTTGGTCGAAACATGTAGTGGATTTTTATAAAAATTGAGACTATAATTAAAGAATATTGTGCAGACAGACTGTCAACCCAACGATCAACACGCAAAATGATTTACTCCTTAAAACTTTTATGATATATATTGACAGTTTTTAACAAAACCTCCTATGAACGTCTTGCCACTAAGGACCGCCTCATATTTGCATATGATATTGTATTTTGAACCTCCAAAAGTACCGTCAAACTTATTAACTAGGATCTTTTACTTAATTGAATAAAAATTTCCTTTGATATTATCCATCGTCTAGTAAATATAAAACGTAAAAACGACGTTTCGGAGATGGGACTCTATCTTACTTAGTGTTGGAATAATATGAAGCTACAAGAATTCACAGTCACAGGTGTTGTGGTAATAAAAACACGGAATTCATTTCAGCCTCTAATTAGATGCTTAGATTATGCAAATTTTTGTGGTCATCGAAACAATTTTATTTCCAAAGTTCTTTATGTAATATATCTACTTTTCGCGTGTCAATAATTACAAACAGAGCGACAATTGAGGTTATGTCTCGTCATGATAACGCTTTGGAAACCTCTACTCGTGTAAATTATGCTTTAAATATCTCACTTTATCTCATATTAATTAATTTGTAACTTCGCTAGCTTTGATATGCGTGCAAGTATATTTTATCACCAGAACTTGTATCAAATTATCGTTGATAATGTTAACTAGAATTGTCTTACACCGAAATTCTTTTAGCCTTGGTAACAAAGTGCCAACATTACGACAGAGACTCTACTACCAGTAGCTTATTGACTCTTCCTATCTCGTGTATGGAAGTCATACAAATTGGGGCTGAAGACTGCCGTAAATACGAAGCTGTTCAAATCCCTTGGCATTACTGTCAACTTCATCGTGTGAGAGTCATCTGACACTAGACGTTACTTAAAACAAGTGATAAGAAAAGATCTTGTACAGAACGCAGTGTCTACCATTGTTTACATTTCTTTACATTAAGTCTAAATGGATGCGATAACATGTCTGTGTAATTGTTAACAGAAGGAAGATAGTTAATGTATAAGAAACAAACTTCTTTTCACTCTGAAATAGGTCAGATTCAGTTGCTTGTAATAAATTACTGTTATTTTATCGTGTGAGAAATAAGGCGACGACAAAGTCATTGTTGCCGTGTTGAAGGCAAAATGTGTTGAACCTGGCTTCAAGACAAGCAAGTCAGTTACTTTGTTCCCTGAAGAAGGTCCGAATATAATCGGACGTAAACATAGTAAGTACAACAATTGTAAATAAATCAAACAGTCGAAGCATTGAAGACATAAATGTGTTTACATCTCAACCACGTTAAGGAGCTATTCGACAACTTACTTTACCTCGGATCTCAATTCCAATCAGTAAACAGTTTAAAGCAACTCCAAACCCTTAACAAGAATTACGAGGTGCGCGTATAAAAACCCGTACACTTATCTCAGGTATTAAATTCATCCATCACCCTCGAAGTAGTTCCCCTGGGAGTGAACACAACGATCCCAGCGCCGCTGCCAAGCCTGGAAGCATC